CCCGTATCGCGGAAGCAGAGAAGAGACGTGCCGCCGCCGCCGCCGCCGCCGCCGCCGCCGCCGCCTCCACGCCCACCGCGGCCAATGTTGCCGCCGCCTCTGCCGCCGCCGCGACTCCCGCGACTACGGTGACCACCGTGCCGACTGTTGAAGGACAGTACGCGCCACCCACGCCGCAAGTGCATGAACAAACGCCGCGACTGTCACGAGTGAATCAGGACACGCGCTCCGTCCGCTCGTCAAGAAGAAGGGCAGAAATAGAGGCCAAATTAAGAGTGGCCCGCCAGGAACTGGAAGTTGCCAAAGCGGAATTGGAGTTGGCCCAATTGGATTCCGACATGGAAGAGGATCCAGAAGAAGTGCAGTACAGGCAAATGCAGGTCGAAAATTGGTTGGACCACTCGAACACCATCGCCGAGAGGGTCCCGCCGGAACTACAACCGATACCGCCGCCGCCGCCCGCCGCGCCGCTGCCGCCGCCGCCACAAGTTCTACCGCTGCCGCCGCCACCGCCGCCGCAAGTGTTGCCGCCGCCGCCGCCACAGCCGCTACCTACGGAAGGGAGAACAGACATTCAAGAGTTAGCCATGGCCATCACCAAGCTGTCACAGAGGGCAGAGGGTGGCCTCACAAGACAACTGGTCGACCTCCCAAGTTTCAATGGCGCATGTGAAGAATGGCTCGCGTTCAGAAGGTCATATGAAGACACCGCGCGCTCCTTCACGCCGGCACAGAATTTGGCGCGACTACGAAGGTGTCTCCAGGGGCACGCGAGGGAGGCAGTCAAGAGCCTCCTGTTCACCGCCGAGGATCCGGAAGAGCTGATGAAGAGCCTGGAGGTCCGGTTCGGCAGACCTGGAGCCATAGCCCTGGCGGAGTTAAAGAAGATGGAAAGGCTGCCAAGGGTCAACGAGTCATCAGGGGAGATCTGCATGTTTGCCAGCCGAGTCCGCAATGCCGTGGCCACCATCAGGGCACTCGGCAAGATGGAATATTTGTACGCACCAGGGGCCGTGGAGTGTCTCATCGACAAGATGCCGCCGACCATGAAGTCTCGGTGGCTGATGTATCAACGTGAGCGCCGGGCAGAAGGAAAACCAGCGCTCGAACTTATGTATGACTTCACGGAAGTTGAAGCAGATATGAACAGCGACTACGCTCCCCCAGAAGTGTCCTGGGACCAGAAGAGGAACACGTTCAAGAGGCCGGTCCACCACGTCCCACAAGCGGAGGAATACTATGAAGATCAGAAGACCGACGTGAAGAAGTGCCCAGAATGCCGAGAAGATCACTGGCTGTACGAGTGCAAGAGGTACAGGGAATCCAGTGTAGACGGAAAATGGGAAATGGCAAAGAAGGCAAGAATGTGTTTCAAATGCTTGCGCTTCAAGCACGCAAGAAACACATGCCGGGCACAGCCGTGCAAGAAGTGCACGAGGTGGCATCACACCAGTCTTCACTCGGAGAAGTCCGCAGCAACGAAGACTCAAGAGAAGCCCGCCAAAGGAGTTGTGTCATCGGTGCACGCCACGAGCTGCGGAAAGGCCTACTTGAAGATGACGCCGGTAAACCTCTACGGACCCAAAGGGACGGCAAAAGTGCTCGCGCTCCTGGACGAAGGGTCCACCGTCACGCTGCTGGACTCATCAGTGGCGAAGAAGATTGGGGCGCAAGGGAAGCCGGAAGCCATCACCATTGCGATGGTCGGGGGGAACGGCATGGTGAAGAGCAACTCTCAGAAGATCAACATGAAGATCAAGGGGGTCCATTGTAGAAATAAACTCAACATCGAAGCGAGAACTATCGACAACTTGAAGCTGACGAAGCAAGGTGTCGAAGAAGGAATGCTTCAAAACTGGAAACACCTGAAGAAAATTAAGAAGAAGCTGGTCTACGACAAAGAAGTACCTAGACTTCTGATTGGGCAAGACAATTGGAGGCTGATAGTCACACGGAGACTACGCAGAGGGAAGGCCTCCGAACCAGTTGCCTCTTTGACCAGCCTTGGATGGGTTCTGCATGGATGCAACACTGGAAGAAGTGATCCAGTGAAGTTAGTGCACCACAGCAGATTAGTGGAAGATGGAACGGAAGCCTTGGTTCACCAACACTTCGAGAAAGAGGACATCGGAGTGGAACCACGTCGGCCATTCAACGACGCCGACAAACGGGCTCGCAGTGTCCTGAAGAAGACCAGCAGAGGGCATCAGACGCACAAGCATCCCATCAAGAAGAAGTTGGATGATCATCCCACTTGGATGTCTCAACATGGGAGGCGCCTAGGAGAGAAGGGTCCGCACGGTGAAGACGACACTAATGGCCGTCCTGAAAGAAAGGACATCACCGGAAGAAGTCCTGCACACGCTCCTCCTCGAAGCGGAACATATTGTGAATTCGCGTCCACTTACCTGTATCAGCGCGGATCCCAACGACGAAGAAAGACTCACGCCGAACCACTTCCCGAACGGAAGATCCTGCGGAGCGATGACGCCGGGCGTGTTCAAGAACCGCGACTTCATCGGGAAGGCGAACTGGAGGACAGCGCAGCGCTTGACGGACCACTTCTGGCGAAGATGGCTAAAAGAGTACCTGCCAACTTAGATGCCGAAGTAGATAACCGGACGGGAAACAGAAGAACCTCGAGTCAGCGACGTCGTTTTTATAGTCGACGTATCGCTTCCAAGGAACACTTGGCCACGAGGGGAAGTGCAGAGGGTATACCCTGGTCCGGACAGAAGAAAACGAGTCCTCGACGTGCGAACACCCGGAGGAGTGCTACGGCGACCGACGCGACGAGTGGTAGTCCTGGTTCCTGCCAAGACGTCGCATCCGGAAGAGGGAGTGCTTCGCACTGCGGGGGAGATTGTTAGCGACGTCGACCAAGGAAATACGCTAACTTATTAATTAGAATCGATTAGCAACATTAATAGTCAGATAATGTTGTAAAATAATCAATTAGAGTCGATTAGAGATAAATAACATTCCATCTCTTTCTCACATTATCTGTCATCTCGCTTGCACATCAATTACTCTTCCACACACTTCTGGAATATTCGAGAGAAAAAGAAACGGGACGGCAACATCGGACCTCTCGCTTCGAACATTCCAGAACTATGGTCCAGAACATGAGAGACAGAGACAGGAATATCGGGAGAGAAAGGGATGGATATAGCCCGGGGCCCTATAAATACAGAGCGAGCCGCTCCGGGAGACAAGTTTAAGTTTAAATGTTGTTTTGTTCAGTTCAGAGAACAAGTGCTCCAAGCAACAAGAACTGAGAAAAGGAAGCGAATAATAAACGCGAGAAGTCTCAGCAAGTGAAATAGTGGTTTTATTCCTGCAAGTAGCACCTACTACGCCTGACATAGTAAGGGCAAGCTCTCAACGGCAGTCATCATCGTCCGGTCAGCGCTCTCGAACACACACAAACGCATACAGTCCACTGCAGTCCACCACATAGGTAATGTTTATTGTGACTTGGTACACATAGTTTGTTTCGGGGAACAAAGCCCCAATGGCCGTTACTTGTAGAAGTTAAAACTTTTAACATTGAACATGCCACGATTATTCTGGTAAAAAAAATTCCGGGAATAACGATTCAATATCCATAGTGCTTTTGGTAAATCAGCCAGTTTCAAAGATAAAATTCTGAAAAAAAAATCACAAGGTGTATAGGGACCCCCAGATTACGAAAATCGCTTAATCGGAAAACTGCTGCTATGGCTATAGCGGCTTTATTCCAGGCACCCATCGAAGTGTATAAACACAGGTCTACTATATAAAAATAAGTCGGGTTTTCCTCCGCACGAACCGATTTCCACGGTTTTGCATTCGAAAGGTCTCAGGCTCCGTGAGGTTTATAGCAAAGAAAATTCGGGAAAAGGGGGTAAAACGGGATCCACGCGTACGAAGTCGCGGGCGGCCGCTAGTTTAGTATGGAAATGTCATTTTAATCCAGAGTTCATCCTAGGCGTAACTTTTTATTATTATGGGGATAAGTGTATAAACACAGGTTTCATTTTTATGCAGTTTTTCCGCAATAACGAAGTGATTTATGAATTCAAATCAATTTTCAAACGTTTTATTTTAATTTTGAACCGTTCCATAATACGGGCCTATGTTTATTCTATTGACTGGGACTTCTGTACTGTGATGTTAAACTCAGTTTCTACATACAATAATAAAGGGTATTATAAAACGAGCGACTAAAAAAATACTTTGCGACTGATGATGGCATACTGTTTTAATACCTTGAGCGGTATGAATTTTAGTAAGCGAAAAATTTACCAAACTAACGACGAATATTGATCAATAATAAAATCCAGAACGAGCTTACAAAATGTGGGTTTTGATTATTACATTTCAGACATAAAAATACTATCCGGGCAACTAAATTACTAAGTGAGCGACTGGAAATACAGAGAGGGCAACTTTAATATGAAGATACATTAGATTTTTCTAATTGAAGTTTTACTGAACGAACTACAAAAAAGTTAATTCTAAGCAAAGTTTTGTGAGCTGCTTTGTTAATGATTATTGGTTACTGATATTATATTTGAGGTCTCATGTTTTTTTATTTTGATACGCTTTATTAATGAAAACTACAGATTGTTACAGCGCGCGAATTCGAATGGGGGCGGGGCGACTGTCCCGAATTTTTAACAAAATATGTATGCAAACACGTTTTGGGTCTAGCAATTCGGCTCAAACTAACAACACCGCCACTGGAAGCAAAACTGATACCTATTCGACAAAAAAGAAAACGAGGCCCGCTAAGTCCAAGCCAGCACTTATCATACAGTGACGATGAGTAGGTAGAGCTCCTCAATCCTCATAGGTAGGTACCAATGAACCTTATTAATAAGATTACTTTTTTTTGGGTTGACAGAAGCGACTTATTTAATTTTGTTTTTTTTTTGTTGATTCGATTTAAGAAAATACAAATTTATTTCATTTTTCGTAATACATTGTTTCATTTGATTACCTACCCTTAAATTTTAATAATTTATTTTTTTCGCTACTAGAATAGTGTTCCGTCAAATATTTATTTCATAAGATCATTTTTTATTTAAATGTGGGCTCATAATACGCTGCTCATATAATAGTATTTTTCAAAGTAGTTTTTGCATTCGAAACACTTCATTAAAGTTCAAAATAACCGCTCAGTATAAAAAAACCATTTGCCAAATGTTGAAAAAAATGCAGGACCTAACGTTGACCCTCAATCAAAATAGGTCGCTCAAATTTATATTATGAAGCTTCTCATTTTGTATTTTAAGGAACTCAATTTTTTTTTGTAAGTTGCTATTCTTTTGATTTTTCGTCACTCGCACTCAGTCGCTCACTTAGTAATTCTTTAGCCCACATTAATTATTTTAGACACTTACAACATAAATTTACAGTCACTCGTTTAAATACTACCCCAATAATAACCTTAGTAGGCGAAGCGAAGGTCTTCTGAGTAACCTAGTTTCTCCAGCGCCGGGTTACAGGCGAAGTTGATCATCGGTGGTGGCCCACACATGAGTGTGATGACGTCATTGCTCGGAGGGAAGAGGTGGTCGCGGATCATTTCATCGTTGATGAAACCGGTGCTGTATGTCCATCCTGTAAGTAAAAGGTAGGTATGGAATACGAATACTGAATGTTAGAATAGATTAAATACAGTGGAATATTCGACATAGATTTTAGATAAAGAGAAATATGAATTTTATTGTAGTTTTAGGAGCGATTTTGCAATGTAAAATTAGTCTCTGTATATAAGGATAATAATTCATAATGGTTAGCAGTGCTGTGGTTAACGAGTCATAAAATTAAGGTAGGTACTAGTTTCATTTTAATTATATACTGAAAATGTTTGTCATTGATTTACATTTTTAAGTGACCCTTTTGTTATCAAATGTCTTTGTTTCGAAAAGATTTCGCAAACTATTTAAACAATGTACATTAATTCACATAAAAAGTAACCTAATGACGTAAAACTGTAATTAACATGCAGATTAGTGAATTTTTAACTAACGTCGAAAGACAACCGATGAACTATAGCTAGACCAGCTAACCAGATAGAAGCCATTTATTGTGTTCGATCTACATAGTGCTCTTTACTTTACCTGGTTGTAATGAGTTAATTGTCAGTTGTGTTTTGGACTGTACCAGAAGAGCGAAGAAAAAACAACAAATGAATGACGTTGGAATTTTGTTTTCTAAAAGACGATATCATGTTCGGTATAGTGATCTGAGTTTTTGCCAACCTGTCCCTCAAGATCTGTGTAAAAATAATTAATTATTTATTTGTTCTACGCTTTAGCTTTACGTCCGCCATTAAAGATACTGTAACCCACGTTACAGCGTAAGGTGACCTCGTGTCATAGTATTGAATACGTAGGCGTCTTATCTGTGCGCTTTTCATTATGTAACTACTTATAGATAAATATTATCGATTGGTTAGAACATTATGTGATAGCATTTACATTTATAACTTGTATGCAGTACAGAATCACGTAGTTTTTATAACATTGATTGACTGATAGATATTTTGAATGGCATTTAATATCATTATAATTGGTCTGTGCGTGGCAAGATAGTAACACACTTGCAGCTGAAAGATAGTAAAGATATAAATGATAATAATTAAACATGGTTTCGGTTGGTATCAAATGTATATCAAAACGAATTCAATTTAAGTTTCTAAATACCAACGCTAATGAGCGTTTTCGCGATTAAAAAATCCGCCAGATGGTAATATGTAGACGGGAGGTCCAAATGCTGCGTGATTGGTGGATTTTGACATATCTGTCAATGTCATGTCAAAAATAACCAATCATGCAGCATTTGGACCTCGCGTCTACGTTTTGCCATATGGCGGATTTTTCAATCGCGAAAACCCTCATTGCACTAAATGAGATTCGAACCCGCAATGGACGATGACATTGTAGTTTGGTACCTACGCAAAATATCAGGCCAGGCGAACGTCGATACCCAAGATTACTAAAGAGTTTTGTTTAAATAAGTAACTCTTAATGCTACTCAGCAGCTGCGACAGTACAAATCACTGGCCCGACGACCTAATGAGAATCACATGGATTTACGGTACGAGTATAAATACAGCAGGGTTACTCCGACACCCTGTATACGTAATTTCGGGTCTATCTGTCACTATCGTTCATGCCGGGTATCTCGCTTTGCGTGAGAGGGATAGCAACATTCGAAATTTTGGTTAATGTTTTTCGGATTTCCCGCAGATTCTTTAACAGCGTTCGTACTAGAGGTTTTAGGCTGGGTTTCACCATCTTACTTTAACGTCAATTGTTATAGTTATAGTTACGGCACAGAATAATAATAAGTACTACGTACAGAAGTTTTACTTCGCGAAGGTATTTAAAAAAATGTATGCTCAATGTCAATAACAATATGGTGTAATTTAGCTTGTCTCAAGAGACAAGCAAGTTTGTCAGAAGTTTTGTTGACAAACGTCAGTGATCGGTACTGCGCCGAAGCTATAGGGCTGACTTCGGTAAAATGATGTGACGTGTGGTGCCAATCTGCAGAAAATGGCGGAGGAAATACATGATTTAGCATGAATTATCATGAATAATATTAACTACTTATTTACCTCTCAGTGTCTTGAGGCAACTTAAAAAAGTACATTCTGTGTTTTTATTATTATTTAGGCAGTTAAATACTGCACAGTATTTAGTACACCATTTTCTTTATTTTTTTCCATCATACACAAGAATACGCGTGCGTGAGTCAATGTTCGCTCGTATGTGAGGCCTTGTCGAATAGTACTCTTGTAGGGGGCAATCGTGCGTGTTTTGTTTTCGATGTAAACTCGCGGAGATGAACAGGCCTGGTTATGGTCAAAATTAGGTGGTGCAACTCAACTTTAAACTCCAACTTCAGAAACTCACCTTCACTAGGCCTGTCTACTGTGTACCACAATTTGAACTGGTCCGGGTGGTCTTTCTGGTACATCTCCAGTTCGTTCCTCAGCAGGATATCTTCCTGCGTCTGGTTGGCGAAGAGCAGCCGCAGTTGGGTGCGGTCGTTGACGTCTCGGCAGATGTGCCGGATCAGTTGGAGCATTGGCGCAATGCCAGTGCCACCTGTAAATACAAATAGTCACAAAATATTAGTGATATTGTAAAGGCGAAGGTGAGTCGGTCTGTTTGTCACCATTTCACGTTCCATAACCCTTTAACTGGTATAGAAAAAAATACTTTACATTACTTTTGTACCTTATGATTTCTCAATAAGGTTCAAAATATGGTGGCAACAATTCTGCCACTACCAGGTAAAGGTTTAAGTCTAAGGCAAGTTGCACCACCTTACTTTAACCACTGTAACTGTAAACTATAACCATAACCGGTGTTTTTTGTATGGAGTTTGACATACTTTTGACGGTTGTTATAAGTTAAAGCAAGATGGTGCAACCCAGCCTAAGATTACAGCAAGTAAAAAAAAAATGTTTCTGGTCTTTAAGAAAAGGCAATAACGTTAAAAATATGGTGAGATCTATATTTCTTCTGTCTTTTATGGGTTTAAAGCACTGATATTTAGATGACATATTTATAGAGACTTAGCTAAAAACAAACAATTTTCTTATCCCTGTTTTCGGAGGCGCGCGTTTAAGTATTTCTGTGATAGAAATTCTCGCGGGCGAAGCGGCGGGCAAAAGGTAGTCGGCAATAAAGTAATGATTGATGACCAAATGGTCAACTGACTCATTCAGAACACCTGTCTAGTCTAGTCTTGGATTAGGGTTGCATTGTTCAGTCGTGTAAACATGTCTAACGGATATTCTATTGCAGTTAGTAAATATCACATTTAAATATGTGCTACAATCAATCTGAGTTACAATGGTATAATCAGCAGCACAAATAGCACCTTTTTATTACAACTACATAGATGCTGCAGTTTAGCTTGATATTATGCTGTCGTCTGTAAAAGATCAAAATAGACTGTGCATCATTAGATTTAATTTTGGTATTATGTGACTACACTACGTGACTTATGGTTCGCAAGCTGTATTGTTTCTACTACTTATCAAATGCTAGTGGAACATTCAGCCTTTGTAAATATCAAAGTTTAATGACATTAGCACTTGGTTTATCAGTTTGTTAACACTAAAGATAGACACTTTCATTGTCTTCTATCAGTGTTAAGAATTAGGATAAATGTATTATTTGATCGACAAATGTCTATAAGTTTTATTTTATATAATTATAATTTAAATAATAATTATTATTTGAATAATAATTTCATTACATATTTATGTTGTTTTTTTAGGTATTCACTTATTTTTTACTTATCAAAAAACTAGCACTAAGGCTGGTTTTAGAGTCAAGCTGACGCACGTTGACCGTCAGCGCTGACGCCGTTGACAGCCGAAATGTATGAAGCGTCAGCGCCGACGATCAGCGAGCGGTCAGCGCGATTCTAAAACCCGCCTAATCTTGATAGTGCTACAGACAATAGTGATCGGAAAAACCAGTGCTATCTAAAATAAGCCTATGCCATAATATTTTATATCATAATCTTAAAAAATAAAGTCTTTAATAGTGTTTAAGTACTAAAAATAACAATCAAGTTAGCTAGAGTTTCTTTCAAATAGATAACCAAGTGATTAAATGGTGATTATTTTTGCTCTAATCCTTATCTGTGTTTTTGGTAGGCTACTTATGTATAAATTAAAATTACAAACAGATTGCTTAAAAGAACCAAAGATCGAACGAAGCGACCAAAGAAGGTAGCTAAAATACCTTTGTACCAATAGATCTAATTTGAACTTTGGACTATTACCATGTGGTTTTAGGCTGGGTTTATGTGGGCTGGGCAGTTTGACAAAGACTGACTCATAATTATCGTTTCTTGTGAAAATATAAAGACTATTATTTAGATAATATTATTATCACTTTTTTTTTTCAAATATTAACATCCAGGTCCAAAACCGACGCATGTACGGCACGGACAGTAGTTACATATTTTGTTTGTAGATCGAATTTTGTTGAATAATGCTAGGTTAACTACCTTGGCACACTTAAATTAACAATACCTACATACTTAAAAATTTTTTATAATGCTGAATTATTAATCTTTTAAAGAGAAATAATATAAAAATAAATACATTAGATAAAAATGTGGTGCTTAATAAACGTGCACAACCGTATTTTGAGCTCTAAAAATTGATTCATAGAACTGAAGATTAAAGAAATATTCAGGGAAAAATTGCTAGTCATTTAAACTACTCATGTAGAGTTGTGCTAGTCATACTGTCTGGTTAGTCAGTTCTTAATCAAACATTTGGATAATAAAACCATATTAATTAAGATCTCTATGAACATTTTGTTAACATAATATTTCGTCAGGTAGCCCATTTGGGTCAGCATGGAAAGTGTAGATTAAATCTTCCATTTGCCTCAGGTAGGTAAATAATTAGAGGAACTAAATGACATGATGATGACATCCAGCTGGATCATCTGATAGGGGTAGGCAGGCATTTAAGAACCAAATGTGGTTTCAATCAGGTTAAGATTAGAAATATTAATATGGATTTTGTACCTGCAATCATGTTCATTTGCTTTGCAACAACTTTGATTGGTGGGTCTTTCCTCATCTTTTTGATCATGAATGTTCCATTTCCTGCATACTGAAGCCTGCCCGATGGTCCTCGAACATCAATAGTGTCCCCAAGCTTCATGTTGTTCAAGTGTTGAGACATTTTGCCTCCATCAGGGAATTTTGGATGAACGTTTTTGAAGTACACCTAAAGTAATAGGAAAATCATAAATGCTGGTACCTACTTATAAATAAACATATCAAATAAATAATGTGTAGTGTACTTTAACATAAATACCTTAATAACCAAATCAACATAGCCCTTCTCTTCATCACTTGATACTGGAGTGTATGCTCTGATTACAAGATCATCATCAATCTTAGCCGATAAGTGGATATGTTGACCAATGGGCAGTCCTGAAAATAAGATGAGGTTAAAATAATTTTATTTAAGTTGCAGGATTAGTCTACGGCTGAGTTGACCGTAACTATAACCGGTGTTTTTTGTATGGAGTTTGAGATATTTTTAACATTTGTCAAAGTTAAAGTAAGATGGCGCAACCCAGCCAAACTGTATGAAATTCAAATTTAGAACTTGTGTCAATCAATAATCAAAACACAATTAAACAGTCAACAAATTGTTAACTGTTCTGTAGTTTAGTTTGTCTATGATCAATTAACAAAACTTCAAGCAAAATCACAAGACTTACCTAAAACATGATCATGACTCGGTAGTCCAAACCGGAATCTCCTTGTGTCATGGCTGATTTCCTCCCTCTCAATTAAAGGCAGGGCATATTTCACATTTGGGTCCACAAGAGCGACAAGCTTCTTCGGCTTTTTACTCTTCCTGCCCCATAAGCAGTTGGCAACAACCGTCACAAGGACTATTGCTGACCCAACGCCTACAACTAATGGCAAGACCTGCAATTAAATTAAAAATAAAATAATGATGCAACATTAATGACCATTCTGAAATTATTGACACTTGTTCCTGAATTATTATGACTGTAACCATATTATACCTACACTGTTCAACAATTTCATTTACCTAATGTTATTTGTATGAGGAAATATTCAAATTACCTACATGTTCATTTAAATTACATGACTTTGAAAATTTTTACGAATTTTATCTAGGTAGGATTTAGCAGAGTAACATTGACACCAACTCAATGTCAATAATAAATTTAAACAAAACACTCTAGAACTGCTAGAACTATGGTTAATAAGTTGGTTGGGTATTAGGCATAAAATGTGAGTGGCTACCTAATTAAAAAGGTTTTTATAGTAAAATTGACAAGTAAACTTTAGTTCTAGGCATTTAATCAAAGCAGACACCACAAAATTAAACTAAGCTGGAGGCTCCAGTGGCAAGTAAATGTTTCAAGGTAATTTAAAACAAAACAAAAAATACATACTGGTACTCTCTCCAGAAACTCGGACACAGCAAATTGTAAATTACTCATGATATAACTTAAAAGTAACCTTTGGAGCTACGTAATTACAGGCAGTGTTGTTCGACTTACACGACCGACCGCGTAAAACAGCGATGGACCAATGCAAGCACACAAATGTACGACACCTTGAACTTGTTATCTCGCATAAATCAAGCGCTTCGTTGATGGTACACACTATTTAAGCGTAAACGTTGCACAATGAAAACGATCACAAACCGCAAGCGGCAAAATTGATTGATAGTGAATTAATTGACAGCACGACACGCTTTGTAGCGGAACTGTACAAACCAACGAGGAGGACGAGCTCTCAACCATCATGCTGCCTTACCAATAGTTTACAAGAGAATAAACTCAATGCATTACAAATATCACGGAACTACCTATCTAATAGATTAGATACAGCCGATAAATAAATAATATCATCAAAAATCTAGTAATAATCCCTCGATTTATGTTTGAACGATTGTTTTAGTGATAAAAACATAACCTCTAAATGTATTTTAGACAAAATTAATTTACTTACTATTTTAGAGTTAAGTGTCAGCGGCATTTTATTTCTTTAAGTTTCTTACACAATCAGGTACACATAAATTTGAACTGTAGGTGATTTAATTTAATTTAAAATGGAAAGATTTTCCTCAAGCACTAACGAACATTCACCTCGGCTTAGTCAGCTGATTACGACTACACAGACGCAACTACGCAAGTGAAGTGAGAGGAATTTATAAACAGTCTTGCTGGCACCTTTGGAAGGTTTTATTTTTGGTCAAGATATGATTTACCAACTTCTCTCGGCTGTTTTCAGTGATGACAATGCTCCCGAAATAGATCTTCAGACGAATAATTACAAAACATCGCTGATAGGAGCTACATTTTACAGGAAAAGATCAATTCTTTGAAGCTCCGTAGACCTAATTATTATCAAAATATAATTAACACACTTGGTGCACTATTAAATTTATTAGAACGATATACATAAAAGTTTTTATTAGTCGATTTTAGTTAGATTAGAATTTGAAAATTGGCGGGATTTCTGCTGACTTTTGTTTTTTTTATGGTTACTTTTTTATGGATTTCACGGCTAGTGCAATTGTGCATTACCCAAAGATGGGCTATAGGTTGCGATGCGAATTTTCTGCGGGAAAATCGGGAAATTCAGGAAAAGAAGGAACAAGAATGGTTAGTATTGTCGGTGCTGGTCTTCGTAAAGTGCCTCATCTTTACTACTTTTATACTCCCTAATTTATCATTTAATACGTCTTGTTTGTACTTAATGTGGGGGATCATCTTTTATTTATTTACTAAAACAATCTACAATGTAATTTTTACGTATGATATTGTAGGTACAATCTGTTTATTTCATTTTTTTATCACTTGAATAAACAGTAAACTTAATTAATTAATTAATTTAATTTAAATTATTCGTCACTGGCCATAAGAGTAATGCAAAGCACACGAAGTCATTAAAAAAAGTTTGCTTCTCGTCTCGCTCCCCAGTAATTATTTTAATTTTGTATGCCTGCATACCATTACTTGCTCAGTGCCTGCATGATTATCTTTCCGAATGCAATTTAAATTTAAATAATAAGTAATGACTGTACTTATACTTTACTTAAATTACACAACATAAAGCGGTTCGATTGAGGTTCAATCAGAAGGTGTAAGACAGTTTTTTGAATGAAAAATCATGTTCTTGCATCACGTGATCATAAAAATCGAGGGTTTATTCGACAATCAAAACCACAAATATTATAATCTATTTAATATTAATACAAAAATAAAGGTAATACTGTATTTACAAGCAAATTAACACAGTCACAGTTGTTTCACGAATTATGAGTCCGGATAATTTCTCTGATACTTTGCGTTACTCCTGTCACAAGGACGAACGAGCCAAACAATATTAGAAGCGTATCTTTGATGAGGATCCACTTGTATTTGCCGAGAGCTCTCTCCCATCTGAATATCAAGTCCAGGATGGAAGGTGCGATAAGCCCGAGGAATGAATAGAAGAACGCTCCTTCAAGGCCTATCACCTGTTCCAGCCGGGGTAAGGTGGCTGCGGCAATCACTGAAACGAAAAGAAAGAAGACACTTGTACTTAATATTTTTTAAACTAAAGGCCTATTCAAACCTGAGCGATATTCGCTGCCGCTGTGTGTAGAGTACCTACATACCGCACGGGTTTCGCTCAGGTATTTAGTATCAAGTATCGCGGCTAGAGCGACCTGAGCGATATTCGCTGCCGCTGAGGGTAGAAGTACATACCACGCGGGTTTCACTCAGGTATTTAGTATCAAGTACCGCGGCTAGAGCGTTTTCTCTGCCGCAGACGGTAGCGAATACCGCTTAGGTCTGAACAGTATTATTACCGCATACCCACTGGGTTTTCTCTGCCGCAGATGGTAGCGAATACCGCTTAGGTCTGAATAGGCCTTTAAGCGGGTAAGGATGAACCTTAAATGGCTGGAATCATTCGTGTCAAGTATTGAAGTTCAGGGTGAGTGAAATTTAGATAATTTAAAGATCACTTTTATTTGTTCAGTCCCTTTTCACAGAAGCGATAAGTCAGTTTCATAATTCATGTAGGCATATTAGGACCACATCCCGAATCCAAAGGTAAGGACATCAGGATATAAGTAAATGCAAGATGCATCGCTTTTACAAATCGCATACCAACACAGACAATTTGTATCATTTATATATTTTATAACATCGATGTACTCAATTAAATAGGTACCTACTTACCTACTGGTACCATGTAGAGATACAGACGACAGCACATCAGACTATAGGTACCTACCTTTATTTTTAGTTTTTAATTGGACGTTCTGTTGTAGAACTTACCCGTGAGAATCGCAAAGACAGCCCTCATAACAGACTGGGCGATGTTGTGGTACTTCTTAGCCACGTGCTCCTGAGTGTTGCGCCACACGATCTCCATGGGCACGTAGAACTGCAGCGTGTATGTGAAGAAGATGGCCAGCACGATGAAAATCTTGGCCAGTAGCGCTGGACTGAAATTTGAATGAATGAAATAAATAATAAATATAATAATTCTTTGGTCAATTTCACACAGCGCCAGCTAGCCCCAAAGTAAGCAACTTATATGCCTGTGTTATGGGTGCTAGCTTAACGGATAATACTACTTATTATATACTTTTTAAATACATACCTAATGAATTAAAATTAAATAGGCAACATAAATTAAAATTCATCATTTCAATTTCTGCCCGGCCGGGAATCGAACCCGGGATCCCTCGACATAGTAGTCCGTTCTGAACCACTACACCAAAGGGCCGACATGAACATCAGTTTTAATAGCTGTGTGTGGATTTTGTAACGGTTGGGGTTACCTACTGATTGATACTGAAGCTATAGGGTCGCCGCACACGGGCCACCGGCCATAACTACAAAAATTTATGTATATATGCCAGTGGCAGCCTTTTGTCGTTGTGGCAGGTGCCCCGTGTGCGGCAATCCTTAGCAATTCGTAATCGTAGAATCCCAGTGGAAATAAGTCTCTTGAAAACTACATTACAACCACAGATACGACTAATAGCATTGATCCTGATTTTACGATTTTAGGTAATATCGATAAAAAGAGAAATTAAAGTAGGTAGATCATCTTACATTTCGCCTTTATCCGTCGGTAGATTGAGCGTGATACTGCCCAAAGCATCTTCTCCGTACTTGACGTAGCCCAAGACTCCCATCAGCATGTATAGTACGACTACCACGGTCATAGTGATGTTGAGGACTCCAGGGCAGCCGAGGAAGTGCTTCGGCTTGGCCATGGCGTTCTCAACTGGCAACACAACACCGATGCCTTCCATTGCGAATATAACTGTGCTGAAATAGATTTTCATATAAATTAAGTAGGTATGTATAAAATGGATAGAGTTATTAGGTAGAGTATAATTAAACAATTTTACTCATGAGCCTTTATGACTCTACTAACTGTGCTGGTGATATCAATGTGATCATCAACCATGATGTCATAATTTTCGATTATGTCATCAAAAGCGCAGTTGACTGAATGGATTCGTATTGTTTTTGGAAAAACGTTTACTCATATTATTTTTGGAAAATCAGGTTGATTCATAACTGCACTTCTGACGCAAACATAAAACCATTACTTATTAGGTGCCTATGTTAAGGGACCAATTACAAGTGCTTTTATACTGAGAACGTAAATCAGTCATATTCTCCAAGTGAAGAGTTCAACTCTACAATTTTTGGCTAAACAGAATGTAAAATTGAAACTCACCCGATGAATAAGGGCAGTCTTCCTATATCGACAGACATGGGCTTATAAGCGATATCCGGGAAGTCGGTGCAAATGTAATACAGGCAGATGACAAATGTCAGCACTAGTAGCAGATTCGCGAAGCCAGAGAATGGGGCGAGGTACTTCAAATTCCTGATCTGGGTAAAAATCAGGATTGGCACCAAGAACATGAGACAGTACATCGTATTGGTTATCTTGTTTTCTGGATAGAAGTGGTTTATAACCTGGAAGAAGAAAACGAGAACGGTATAATTTTCAAATTAGGTATTTAAATGAATACTTTTCAAGGTAGGAAGGTAGAGGTAGAGGAGGTTTGTTCATGAGTACAATCTCAAATGAAAATACGTGCATTGATAAAAATAGACTATCCTAATCTGATATCAAAATAATTATGTAGTAACTAGCTGACCCGGCGAACTTTGATCCGCCTTAATGGCAATAAATAAGCAGACTTTTTTTTAATTTCGAACGGGATAAAAAGTATCCTATGTCCTTCTACTGGCTCTAAACTACCTCCCTGACAATTTTCAGCTAAATCGGTTCAGCCGTTCTTGAGTTATAAGCGAAGTAACTAACACGACTTTCTTTTATATATATAGATTTACTTCATTTCACGTGTATCAGCAACATTGTTGTTACGTTACGAAATGGTAGAGCTGTCGAGGTTCCAACTTACCTGTACAACAGAATCGACGAGCAATATGACATACACTGCACAGGCGCCAAGAATCGTAAAAGCCATAGCCCAGTCTATAAATATTCTGAAATAAAAAAAGAAAACAAATTGAAGATAATGCTTACAACTGGTTAAATTGCTTTTATAATGCTGAAAAGTAATACCAGAGCCAGCAATAAGTAAGGCCTACAGATCGTTTCATCCACGAAAACTTCCGCTAACGTTTCAGTGTTATCGGTATAGACGCTAAATTATCCATGACATGAGCAATCCGAGCATCATTA